AAATGAGTCCCCAGCTTGCTGGGGGGGCAATGTGTAGCCTGCATAATTAACTTGTAAACCGCCCAGAGAGTGCTTGAAGCGCTATGGGGTGGTATATAAGCAGCACGCTTTGCTTTTTTTTTCCTTTGCTTTTGCAAGCGATGGAAGCCACGTTCAACCACTAGCCCAACGTAAGTGAAAGGAAGGCAAAATCGGAAGGCGCCACCTCACTCACTGCAGATCTTGGGAATATTGCTTTGTTATGGTTGCCTACAGAACGGTGGGAGCTATAGCGCTATGCACTCTGGTCCATTCCCTGCAACAGAATGTTGAAACAGGCAACAGAACTGAAAACAACACACAGCGCACACCGTTGACGGTGAGGTGGATCCAGGTTCCATTCTGGAACTCATCTTCACTGCTAGGACGGTCCAGAAAGAGCACACGGCACTCATACCAGCCCTGGTCTTCGGCACGCAGTCGCTCAATCCGAAGAGAGGCACCTTCCTGAATCCATACACGACCTGCGTGGGAAAGAACAATGAAGGAATTTATTCGCAAAGCTTTCACGGCTGGGATCTAAGGGTTGTTGTGGGTTTTTCGGGCTCTTTGGCCGTGTTCTGAAGGTTGTTCTTCCTAACGTTTCGCCCGTCTCTGTGGCCGGCCCCTACGGAGGACAGGAGTCGGGACTCCCACAGACTGCCCCAGAGCACAGACAGAGTTCCTAGTCCAATCCTCTGAAGGACACAGCTACAAATATTCAACCATCCCACAGACTACACCAGAACACAGACAGAGTTCTGACTCCGGTCCTCCGAAGAGGCCGGCCACAGAGACGGGCGAAACGTTAGGAAGAAAAACCTTCAGAACACAGCCAAAGAGCCGGAAAAACCTGCAACAACCAAACAAGGAATGAGTTTACCAAGGCCAGGATGTGTTATCAAGGTCCATAGTCACTGTCAATCCATGTCAAGAGTCTCCGTTCCCACCAAGGCTTGCTAGCAGATACAGGGGTGAAGAATCACAGGAGTTGTGGTCCAACGATATCTGCAGGATGACATCTTCCCCAACCCTATGGCTTTAATGAATATGAGTTTCCGTATCTGCATTTTCTTGTTTCATTTTCCATCTCATTTTCCTCTATGGTATTGCTTAAATCCTAATTCCTACACATTATTTATTATTTACATTTACAGTGTGTCTCTCTTGCAATAAGCCTGAAATAATATACCCGTCTTTCTCCTTACTCACTTTATTTTGGAATCCTAGAATCATTGAGTCGGAAGGAGGCTTACAAGGCCATCGCGTCCAACTCTTTGCTCAGTAGATCCAAATCAAAGCAGATCTGATAGACTCCTGTCCCATCTTCTCTTGAATGCCTCCAGTGTTCGAGCATTCACCACCTCCAAAGGTCATGGGTTCCACTGTTGTACACTGAATATAGGGGAACTAGTCCTTCACAGGATTTGTAAACTATACAGTGGTGCCTCGCTTAACGAGTGCTTCGTTTAACGATGCATTTGCTTAGCGATGGCTTTTTTGGAGCGATCTTGCACTCCGTTTAACGATGTTCCCTATGGACGATTTTTGCATAGCGATGTTTGGGACCATGCTTTGCATAGCGATGACAGTTTGGGTCCCCCTGTTTCGCTTAACGAAGGTTTTGACAGCCTCATGTTGGCTGGTTTTTATATGTTTAAAAATGTTTAAAAATGTTTAGAATGCTTGAAATCATAAGTGCACTTAATAAACCCTTTGTTAAACTAATTTGACTTTGTTCCGACTCTTTTTTAATTTGTTGTAATTTCCCCCCCCCCATTGAGATGCATTGAATAGGTTTCAATGCATTTCAATTGGGGAACCGTGTTTCGCTTAGCAATGTTTCCTATGGCGATTTTTTCTTAAGGACGGCAATCCGTTCCCATTGGAACGGATTATCCGTTTTTCAATGCATTTCTATGGGAAACTGCATTTCGCTTAGCGATGTTTTCCCATAGCGATGATTTTTTTGGAACCAATTAAAATCGTTAAGCGAGGCACCACTGTACTTCTGTTAAAGGAAGCCTAAAATAGCATTTGCAATTTTGGCAGCCACAATTCACAACAATCCTGTGAGGTAGACCAGACGGAACGTTAGTGACCAGCCCAAGGTCACCCAACGAGTTTTATGACTCAGCAGGATTAGAATCTGGCTCATACTCTAAATTCTATGCCACGCTGGCTTTCCACAGACACTGTTTAACTACTCCTTTAGGGTTACGCTGGAACTGATAAAGTGGACTTTAGCCCTTAGTAGCTGACACTACAATTCATGGGTCATCTTAAAAGCCGTCCTCTCTCAATGTCTCCTCTTCTCTGATATGTTACATTACATCTCCCAGCAGCCATGCTAGCTGCGGGAGATGGGAATCATGGTGCCATAAGCCAAGAATGAAGCAGGCTGGAGAAAGCTGCTCCAAGGCTTATGTCCCCAGCTCATCTACGGGCTCCTGCAGCCTCTGTGGGTGGTCTGATGACCCCGGTTCACTGCATTCCTGCTTCCAGGACACTCCCCTCCTCCTCCTCCTGCATATTCTATCGGTCCGATGACCCCGGTTCACTGCATTTCCACTTCCAGGACATTCCCCTCCTCCTCCTCCTGCATATTCTATGTACCCACCTTCCTCCTCCCACCTTCCTCCTCCATGCTCCGTCTCCCTCCATCTTGTTACCCACCAGTAGAGCAGTAGATAAGCGTAGCATCTGGTATGAGTCCTCCCTCCGCAGGCAGTGAAGTATGTCTTGCAGCTCAGTATCTTCAAGAACATTTAACCTACTGATGCCTCAATTAATGTAATTTTATTGGCATCTATTTTTATTTTCGAAATTTACCCGTAGCTGCTGCATTTTCCACCCTCGGCTTATACTCGAGTCAATAAGTTCTCCCAGTTTTTTGTGGTAGAATTGGGTGCCTCGGCTTATATTCGGGTCGGCTTATACTCGAGTATATACAGTATTATCTTAAATACGATTTGAGCCGAGCAGCCCTTCAAACACACCCAATGCCTGGACACACTTCAAAGAGAGGAAGAAGCCACTTGCATGTCCTACCACCTGCTAAGTCAACCTTGCTACCTCTGCTGCAGTGAAGAAGGACCTCCCATTGCCAGGACTGAAATATGATCTAAATGCTAGCCCCGGGGGCTCTGATACTTGACCATGGGCATAGACTGGTCCCCTGTCTTTGACAGCGACATGTCTACACTTTTGGAAATTTGCTCCGGCTTTATTTCCGAACCCATGTGAGAATGAAAATGCAATTATTCGTCAAAATCTGCACTTCTATGTGATGTGGACATCCGACTTGAAAATGTATGCAAAAACAAGGAGACCGTGCAATAAGTATATATTGTCAACACAGTTTTTAAAATATGCATTTAGATGAGAATCATGGAATAACTGGGTGTTTTTAAAACCCAATTAAAAACATGGTTATACATCCAGGCCTTCCCTCCAGTCAATTCCTGAATCCTTTTTCTAATTTTCCTTATATTAATTTCCTTATTTCACTGTGATTGTAATTGTTATTCCATGCCTATGCACATTTTTGTATTTTAATTGTATTTATATTTTTATTTTATACTGGAAGCCACCTAGAGTGGTCTGGTAGTCCAGATAGGCAGGGTACAAATCAAATAAATAATAAAATAATAATAATAATAACTGAGTTGGATAGGGCTTCTAAGGCCATCGCGTCCAACCCTCTGCTCAAATCAAAACAAATCTGACAGACAGCTGTCCAATTTTCTCTTCCCATGCCTCCAGCATTGAAAGGGAGGTGCTTGCAAGAACACAACAACTTTGTAAAGTAAATCTCTGGAGGAACCTGCATGAAAATGTATACACACTTTAAAAAAGTTGATTGCCAAAAATGTCAAGCCGAAAAGAAAATGGGGGGGGGGAACTGAATTTAAGGAAATTATAAGGAAAAATCCAAAATGTTGAAGACTGAGGATATTTTGAGTTGAAGACCGGAAGAATGGGAAACAAAGAATTAAATTAGACACATCCAGCCAGCCATTCCCTGACCTCAATACTGTCAGACGCAAGCGAGGGTTTGCACACGGAGAGCCTGCAGTCAGACAACTTTCATGCCTGATAACCCTGCACACGAGGAATTATCAATGCATGGAGAGCAAAGAGACGCAGACGCTGCCTCCATGACCCTTTTCCATGCATTGATCATAGTGATTTTACAAATGCATGCGCACATGGCTATGGGACCTTTGAAACCACATTTCTGCTTCTGGCTTTATTGGAAAAAATAAATTGGAGTGGGAAACTTGTCTTCCAAATGTTGACAACCTACTATTCCCGCCATTAGCAAGGCTGTCAAAGACTGATGGGAACGTGAGTTCAGAAACAGCCTCTGGAGGGTCCTAGGTTGAGCAACCCTCAGTGGTGCCTTGCTAGACGATGATAATCCGTTCCACTGAAATTGCTGTTTAGCGAAATCGTTGTCTAGCGAAAAGCATTTCCCCATTGGAATACATTGAAACCTGTTTAAAGTGTTCCAATTGGTAAGAATCGTCATTGTCTAGCGAAGATCGGCCATAGGAAAGCCGCTTTGCGAACTGTCGATCAGCTGTTTAAATCGCTGTCTTGCGAAGCGTAGGTCCCGAAAACACCCGTTTTGCGAGCGTGGAGGGAGCTGTCAAAATCATCGTCTAGCGAAAATTGGTTTGCGAAGCAGGGACCAAACATTGTCCAGCAAAATTCCCCCATAGGAATCACTGTTTTGCGAATCGCTATAGCGATCGCAAAAAGTCAATGTCTAGTGAAAAAACTGTCAAAACTAGCGAGGCACCACTGTAAATAGCTTGTTTCTGCTTTTATTTTTTAAGAGCAAGTTTATTTCACAGTTATGGTTTGCATGGGGTTCTTGGGCTTATATCTTCCCAGTTGCATACAAATGAGTTTTCACAGCATTGGTTCATATTTCTGACCTCTCCCTTCTGTCTTTTCTTCCCTCCTTTGTTTACTCACGTTATCTATTTCAGCCCCCGCCCACACTAAGAAGTTGTTCAATTCTCCAGTATTGCATCTGTAATTCTGGAACTGAATCCCAGTGTCCACACATGACGAGGCTAACATAATGTCAACAGAGTCAAAACAAAGGGGAGGAAACTTGATTTCCCGGAGGGGATTTTTTTTTTTTGCTTTCGTTCTGCATTACTCCAGTTTTAATCTAGTGCAGGATCTTACTGCATGTACCCCAGTGGTGCCCCGCATAATGAGTGCTTCATTTAATGACGAATCTGCATAGCGATTAAGTTTTTGCGATCGTTTTCGCGATCACATAACGATGTTTTAAATGGTAAAACATCGCTTACCGATTATCGCATAATGATGTTTTTCCAACAGTTGATCGGCGGTTCCAAAATGGCCACCGGGTAAAGAAAATGGTCGCCTGCTGTGTTTTTGTGCCCTTTCCTCACTTACCGGGCAGCGAAAATGGTGGCCGTATGGAGGATTTTCACATAAC